AAAATTAAGACAAAATTAAGACCAACCAAGCCACCCAGGCACCCCAGCCATAACAATTATAATAATAATGCAAAAGTTTGACATATCATGAGAATTAACCAAAACATGGTACAGAGACACAGATGATCAGATACTTTGAATACTGAAATGCAAAGAGAAAACAAGAATGAAAAGATGGAATGGACTCTTGGGGATTGTGACAGTGATGACACATGGCACGTGTGCCCAATGTATCCCCAGAAAGTGTACAAAAGAGAAAAGGACAGAAGAAATAGTTGAATAATGACTTCATTGTTTTTCACAATGTATGACAAATCCCAAGTGCAGATTCCGTTAAGTCCACAAACTACCAAAGAAGACAAATACTGAAATATCAACATGTGATATTCAAGCTATAGACAATCAAAGACAAATTCTGGAAGGAAGCTGGCGTTGGGTCAGATGCCATGCCTACAGAGCCACGGGGACAAGACATTGGACTTCCCAGAAGCCATGGAAAATAGAAGGCAGGGAATGGGATGTTTAAAGTGTTCAGAGAAAAATTATCACCCTTAGAATTCTGAACCAGTGAGATTATCTTTCAAAGATGAAGGAGAAATCAACACAGAAGGAATTTGTTGCCAGCAGGATCGTCTTGCAAGAAATGTTGAAAGAAGAGGGGCGCCTGGGGGCCTCAGTCGGTTAAGCGTCTGACTTTGTCTCAGGTCATGATTTCACCGTTCCCAGGTTGGAGCCTCACATCAGGCTCTGTGCTGACAGCTCAGAGCCTCAAACTTGTTTTAGATTCTGGGTCTCTCTCTCTCTCTCACACTCTCTCTCAAACATAAACATTAAAAAAATTAAAAAAGAAATGTTGAAAGAAGGAAAATGATATAGGTTGGAAAGCCAGATTTACATAAAGAAAGGACGAACATTAGAGCAGGAGTAATCGAAGATAGAATCTCTTTCATATTTATTGTTGTTCATTGATCTTACAGATAGTTTGTTTATAATAATAATAGCAACATTGTATCTAGTGACTGTGGCCTATGGCTAAATGACATGAATGGTGGAAATTCTATATGGGAAGGGAAGGAGGAATTGGGAATACTCTGTCCAAGGTACTTCCAGTTGGGGTGCCCCAGTGGCTCAGTGGGTTGAGTGTTTGACTCTTGATTTCGGCTCAGGTCATGATCCCAGGGGTGTGGGATCAAACCCCAGGATGGGATCTGTGCTGAGCGTGGAACCTGCTTAAGATTCTCTCTCTTTGTCCCTCTGCCTCTCTCCCCTCCACTCCTCTCTCTCTTTCAAAAAAAAAAAAAATATATAGGTACTTCCAGTTAATTTTTATTTGCAAATAGACTTGGAGCAGTTATAAATCTATACTGTGAACCACAGAACAACCAATGTAAATTTTAAAAAATATATATATTCTAGGAGAGGAGAGAAAATGAAATCATAGAAAATGTTCAACTAAAAACGGACAATGAAGAAAAAGAAAGAGTGAGAAACAAGGACAACAAATAGAAAATTGTTAGTATAATCCAGTGTATCAAATATCACTTTAAATATAATGATGTAAATGTAACTGGTGGAAACTCACCAATTGATAGAAACTACTGAGAAGAGATAAGACCCAACTATATGTTTTCTAAAAGAATCCCACTTTAAATGTAAAGACACAGATAGCTTAAAGGCAACGGGGAAAAGAAAGATACATCATACTGACATTAATGAGACGAAAGATGGAATGTTCCCGTGAATTTCAGACAGAGCAAAAAGAAGTTGTTAGGAATAAAGGAGGATATTACATAATGATAAAGGAGTCAGTTCTCCAGAAGAATTTACCAGCCCCTGATGTGTGTAAACCCCACCACAGCATGTCAGAATCTGTGAGGACAAGACAGTGGATCTAGAGAAGAAGTGGGGGACATCAGCATCCCCCTTTCAGTAACTGCCAATCCTTCAGGTGGAAAATGAGTCAGAATAGAGTTGAACTAAACGGCACATTAATCAATGGGATTCGAATGACATCTATAGAACATTTTGTCCAACAGCAGAAGTGTGCACAGTCTTTTTAAGCTCATGTGGAAGATTCATCAAGATCGACCGCGTTTGGGACCATGAAATACTCCTTAAAAATGTTAAAGTAGAGGTCATGCAAATTATGTTCTCAGATGACATTAGCATTAAGCTAGAAATAACAGAAATTAGGCAACTGGAAAATTCCCACATATACAGGGATTAAACAACGCACTTCTAATTAATGCATGACTCAAAAAGTAAGCTGGGCTCTATCAAAATAAGAACAAAATCTGCTCGGTGAAGGATGCTTCCAAGGGAGTGAAAACACAAATCCCAGACGGGCAGAGAATATTTGCAAAGCACGTATCTGATAAAAGACTTTTATCCAAAAGATGCAAAGAACCCGACGCTAAGAAAATAACCAAAAACAATTAGAATATGGTCAAAAAGTCTGAATGGATACCTCGCTAAAGATACAGATGGCCCATGACGTATCACATGTCATTGGGGAATTGCACATTTAAACAATGTATACACATCTGTTAGAAAGCCAGAAATCCCAGATGCTCTCAGTGCCAAAAGCTTGGGAGGATGTGCAGCTATTTTGAAAATACTCATTGTATAGCCAGTACCGAGGACGATTTGTGAGCTTCTCGAAAAGCTAAAACATAGTCTTACAATATCCTGAAGGAGTCCTCCTCCTAGGTATTTATTGAGATGATTTGAGAACTTATGTGTGCACACACACACACATACACACACAAACCCTGTTGGCTAATGCTTGCAGTACTGCTATTAATAGTTGTCAAAATTAGGAAGCAACAGAGATACGCTTCAGTAAGTGAATGAATAAATAGACTGGGGTGCATCTAAGCAATGGAATAGTATTCATCAGTAAGACACGAGCTCTCCAGCCCCAAGAGGCCACGGAGGAGCCTTGAGTGCGTGTCCCTGAGGGAACGAAGCTCGCCTGAAAAGGCTGTGTGCCGCGTGATTCCAGCGAGCGGATGTTCTGGAAAAGGCAAAAATACGGAGTCAACAGAACCATTGCCAGGGAGGAGGGAGGAGGTGATGAAAGGCAGACGCAGAGCGTCTGTAAGGCAGTGACAGATTCGTGTGATAACTGTTGATGTGTGATGTTCTGGATTTGACACAACACGCACACAGACCCGCACAACCCCAGAAGTGAGCCCTCTGACAGGCGTGCACTTAAGTGAGTAAGCGTGTCTCCACATTGGTTCGTCATTTGAAACCAAATTGTCACAGCGATGGTGGGTGGCTGTTAGTGATGGGGGAGGTTCTGGGTGAGAGGCAAGGGAGCGTCCGGGAACTTCGTGTACTTTCTGCTCAACTTTCTGTACATCTGAAGCTGCTCTAAAAGTTGGAACTCTAGAGGCGCCCAGGGGGCTCAGTCAGTTGGGCGTCTGACTTCACCTCAGGTCGTGATCTCACAGTTCATAAGTTTGAGCCCTGCATTGGGCTCTGTGCTGACAGCTCGGAGCCTGGAGCCTGCTTTGGATTCTGTGTCTCCCTCTCTCTCTGACCCTACCTGGCTCATTCTCTGTCTCTCTCTAAAAAAAAATAAACATTAAACAAATAAAAGTTGGAAGTCTATTAATGAGAACGAAAATTACCTCCCTCTTCCTTTTTTTTTAATCTTCTTTTTTCTCCTCTTTATTTTATGGATGGTTCTTCTATCTTTCTTCTAATGGTCACAGAATGAAAAAAAATGGTAGACTTAGAAGTGTAAGGCAGAGTTATTTAGTTAACTCCGGGCCCGCAGTAACACACAGACTTCTGTTTTGGCAGCTGTAAAAGGGCAGTGGTAATTTTTTTTTTTTTTTAACAACTGCTGTGTGCATTTCCACCAATAAAAGGAAACAGAATGAAGTATAGATTCGTGCTGTAACATGGATGAAACTCAAAGACATGCCAAGGGAACAAATCCATGTGCAAAAGTCATATATTGCATTGTTCAATTTATATAAACCACCCACAGTAGGCATATCCTTAAGATTGAGAAGCAGAATCGTGGACGCCGGGGCTGGGGGGACAGCAAAATGAGGAGTGACCACTTTGAGGGCATGGGGTTTCCTCTGGGACCCTGAGTTTTCATTATGATCAATGAGAGATTGTATATGCTATGGTAGAAATTTACTTTTTAAAAATCTGAATCTGAGTGATAGTTTAGCCATTGATTCATTAGAAATTCTTTTTTTAAATTTTTAAATGTTTATTTTTTAAAAATTTTTTATGTTTGTTTATTTTTGAGAGACAGAGAGAGACAGAGCATGAGTCGGGGAGGGACAGAGAGAGAGAGAAAGGCACAGAATCTGAAGCAGGCTCCAGGCTCTGAGCTGTCAGCACAGAGCCCAGTGCAGGGCTCAAACCCACGAACTGTAAGATCATGACCTGAGCCAAAGTTGGATGCTTAACCAACTGAGCCACCCAGGCACCCCTAAATGTTTATTTTTGAGAGAGAGACAGAGAGAGAGAGAGAGAATGAGCACCAACAGGGGAGAGGCAGAGAGAAAGAGGGAGACATAGAATCCAAATCAGGCTCCAGGCTCTGAGCTATCAGCACAGAGCCTGACACGGGGCTCGAACTCACAGACCGCAAGATCATGACCTGAGCTGAAGTCAGATGGTTAACTGAGTGAGCCATCCAGGTACCCCTGATTCATTAAGAATTCTCATGAATTGTTTTTCTAGGGAAGTAATCGTTATGATAGCCATTTACTGGGCATGCCTTATGCCACCTGCAAAGCTCTGTGCTTTCTGTATTTCTATTTTAACATAAAAAAGCAATCGTGGACTTAGAACCAAGCCTGGACATGTGGGTTGCTACTCATTCATTGAACCCATTTATGCTAAATTAATTACCGCATTATACAAACTGCAGCGAACTTCTCTTTGATGGAGCCACGTTGCAGAACTGGGTGATGTGTGTCTGGAGAACCGAATTTTCTGGACTGTGCTGCCATTTCTCTCTGCAGAGACACTGTGGATCTGTCTTTGGCGGGGGCGGCAGGAGTTCGCATCGGCTACTGTCCGCAGCAGGATGCCCTGGATGAGCTCCTGACCGGCTGGGAACACCTCTGTTACTACTGCACCCTCCGTGGGATTCCCGAGTCCTGCATCCCTCAGGTAAGTCTCCCTGAGGTTTTCCGGAAAAGCATCCCATTGAGGAATGCTTGGCTTACACCTCTGGTCCCCACACAGCTCTCTGACCCCTTGAGAAGGAAACCACCGTATCCGATAGATAAATGATAAACGTACCTGAAAGATGTTTCCAATCTGATTACATGGAAGGAAACACAGCCAAGATGTTTGTGTTGTTTTCAATTATGTATTTAAAATAGATCTGAGTAGGGAAGTCAGTTGGGGTTAAAGGGGACATTATTTGCAACTTTGTCTCATCTCCAAGTGCCTTTCATGTTTGCTGGACTGTTGATTTCATTCAGGAACAGACCTCATAGACCTGTCACCTGGGCTTGCAGAGAAGGGCGTGGATTGTATGGAAATGGGGGGGGGGCGTCAGGAAGAGGTGGCGGCCTGGCACCTCCCCGCCTGACTGCTTCCCAGGTGGGCTCTGGAGGATGGAAACATGCCAGAAACTGCAGATCGGCCCCTCCTCCATCTCTGCGGGGGGGCGGAGGGGGGCGCAGCCCTGCGAACACAGGAGGCAGCTGTCATTCTGTCTGTTACGTGCCATGGTCAGCCGAGCCAAGCTGACAGCCTTGACCGACAGCTCAGAGGCCGTGCTGGGCGGAAGCTGCTGGAATGGCAGGTGCTTGCAGCACAGTTTTACCTTTCCTGCCCCTTGCAGGGATTCTGGAATGCTCCTTGCATTCCTGGATTCTGAACAAGGAGCAGAAGTAAGTGGCTTATGCGGGGCATTTGGGATGTGATCCTGCAGAAGAGGAAGCGCCCCCGAATTCACAGAGACAAATCTAAGAGCCTCCCCTTCACCGGTCCATGAAGATTCATTCCAAGCGCTGTTGTGTCATCTTCTCAGCCTTTATCTCTTACTGATGCTCTGTTAAGTTAGGAGCAAGTGCAGCGGAAGCCTGGTCCCTTCACCCACTGCCCAGCTTCATTAACCAAAGACAATCGGCCGCCCCTGGAGGCCTGCGCATCTGTAAGCAGCTATTGAGATGCGAGACTAATCAGAGCTCAGTCTTAAAAAGGCGTTTGTTTCTGTCTGCTGCCCCTGGTTAGTTTTTGATTAAAGAGGCAGATGCTTGGCGAATGCTGCCAGCTGGCCCAGGGGGTAAATGCACACTTGGAGACGTTCTTGTTCATATCTTGAGGCTCGTGAGGCTCGGTGCTTCCCATCATCCGGGGCAATTGCCTCCTGAGTGTTGGCCATCTCCGGGCTCATCATTCTGAGCTCCCTCCACAGAGAGGAGTTATTGTAATGGTGGCTGATTAGGAACTGGCTTCATTTTCTTCACGAAACCCCTGGTGTTTTACAGAGAGGATCGCTGCTTGCCCAGAGCTTTCTAAGAATTCAGCATGCCTGTTCCCAGAGGACATGGTTCCCTTTATAGCAAACTCCCCTCGCGTATAAACTTCAGAAATGCGGGAAATCTAGAGCAAGTGTCTCCTTTCCAACGTGCTTATCACTTGGTGACCAGAGGGATTATTGTTTTTTTATTTTTTAATGTTTGCTTATTTTTGAAAGAGAGATAGAGCCGTGGAGGAGCAGAGAGAGAGGTAGACACAGAATGTGAAGCAGGCTCCAGGCTCCATGCTGTCAGCACAGATCCTGACGCAGCACTTGAACTCACAAACCTTGAGATCATGACCTGAGCTGTAGTTGGACGCTTAACTGACTGAGCCATTCAGTTGCCTCTGTGTCAATATTTTTAGACATTCTCAATATTTCTTAATAATATTGTCGTCATTATTATCATCCCGAGTTTTATGCATTTATTCAAAAAATACATAGAGTAGTTCATATCTTTTATTTAACTATATATTTTATTTAGTCATTTTATTTTTAATTGTATTTAGTTCATCCTACATTTTATCAGATGTTTAGGACACAGAGTTTTCCCCACCTCTTCTAAATTTGAATGAAGTTAGGATCTTGGCCACGTTGATTATATGATGATACATAAACAAGCAGGCAAAACAGAGCTACTGCGTTCATGCCTCTGTGGTCACAGAGTTCAGTGTAACACATTTGTCAAATTAAAAAATATATATAAGTTTATTTATTTATTTTGAGAGAGACAGAGAGACAGTGTGAGTGGGGGGAGGAGCAGAGAGAGAAAGAGAGAGGGAGAGAATGAGAGAGAATCCCAAGCAAGCTCCTCGCTCAGTGCGCAGCCAGGTGCAGGGCTCGAACGCATGGCCGTGAGATCGTGACCTGAGCCGGAATCAGGAGTCCGACGCTTCACCCACGGAGCCTCCCAGGCGCCTCCACATTTGTCAGATTTTAAAACTGTGCAGAGAGCTAGAAGCCTAATAGATGGTCAGTCCCAGCCCTGAGCAAGCAGCCGGCTCCGTGGATGGAACCGAACTCGCAAAATGTAGCGCACCCGAATTCTGGCGGGCTATACGCAGGTTCCCCTGCGAGGGCCAGGGCCATGAGTGGGTGCAGCAGGTGCAGGTGGGGCGGGGAGGGGAAGAAGAGGGGCGGCGAGCCTGCTGTGTGCTCCGGCGGGAGCCTCCTTCCCGTGGGGGTGGCTGTGGGGTGGCGCACAGTCGCCGTCTTCTGGCTTCATGCAGCGCTTCCCAGTAGTGGCCGCTGAGACGCGTGGCCTCTTCTCCGCCCAGCTCCTGGGGGGCTGGCTGTGCTGCAGCCCCGAGGTGGAAAGGGGACATTTCTTGCCCCTGTGACTGTTGAAAACTCCCTTCTCAATTCTCTGCTCCCTCCAAGTCCTGTCTTGCCCACCCCCATCTCGGGTTTGTTCCCCCATTTCCTCCTCCGTCCAGGTTTCCGCTCGCCTGTGCGTGGCTGGGCCTCGGGGCCCTGGCTCCACTGTGCTTCCCGCCCCCTCTGCCCCCCTGCGCCCCAGCCCCGCGTGCTCTGGCCAACACTGTCCCCCGGGCCCCCAGCAGAGTCCCCACCCCTACCGGCTCCTTCTTTTCCTGCCTGGGTGGTGGAGGGAGGTGTGTGGAGGTGGGCAGGGGAGGCGGGAGGCGGGGAGGGCACTCAGGGCTGAGAGCCTGGGTCCGGGAGGCGATCGCGGACCCCGCCCCGCTTGCAGGTTGCCGGGGACCTCGTGAGGCGGTTACATCTGGAAACCCACGTGGACAAACTGGTGGGCTCCTACAGTGGGGGGACCAAGCGGAAGCTGTCTACGGCCTTGGCCTCGCTGGGCAGACCTGACCTGCTCTTACTGGTGAGTAGGAGAGCCCAGCCTTCCCGGGGATCTCCAGATAGGGCGCTTGGAGCATCTCAGAGCCCCTCCGGGGAAGAAATTCAAATCAGCAGTGCTGGTTATCTGCACTAACAAAGCCTTTTGCCCTAAGGCAACATTTCCCAAACAGAATCTAAAAGCATTGGAATTTTACAGAAAAATTTTTAAAAAAGTCTTTTGATAGAGTCCCTGTTACTGATCTAATTGAAGATTCGGTAAATATTTATCATTAAAAGCAATATTTTATTAAAAAAACTTTTTTTAACATTTATTTGTTTTTGAGAGACAGAGCATGAGCAGGGGAGGAGCAGAGAGAGAGGGAGAGACAGAATCTGAAACAGGCCCCAGGCTCTGAGCTGTCAGCACAGAGCCCGAAGCAGGACTCCAACCCACCAACCGTGAGATCAGGATCTGAGCCAAAGTCAGACTCTCAACCAACTGAGCCACCCAGGCGCCCTAAGCGCAGTATTTTAGAGTAATATCAGGATTCACGTCTAATCCGAAAACCAATATATGTTTGCCGTGTAGTGTGTTGCTTCTGAGCGTATGTGATTGTTTCTGCAGGTATGTGATTGTCACAGTTGCAGTGACGTGAGTCCATGGCAAATCCTGATGAGGGGTGTCGGGTGCAGGATGGCTGTGGCCAGGAGAGCAGGTCACTCAGCAAGACAGTGGAGCCTATACGCAGTGGCGTTGAGACAAAGCTGTCCATAATCTGGGAACTGGATTAATCCAGTGTGGCTACATGAAAGTGTGAATTTGTGGCAGGGAGATCCAAGAAATAGAGCCAGCTAAAAGTACTATCCTTCAAACAGTACCTGAAAGCCATTATTTGGGTGCCATAGATGGGGTACGAATCACTGATGTGTACCCCCTGGTTCCCACTTGGACAGAATCTGAGATGCATCAAGACGGGTGGGCAACAAATTCTTTTTTTCTTTCTGTTCTTGCTCATTAAGTGGAGGATTCAAGAGGCCTGCATTGGAAAAGTGGCCTTCGTGAGGTAATGGGGCATCTTCTGGAGTCTCAGCAGGCTTTTTTTTTTTTTTGCTTTGCTCTAAGTTTGGTTCTTTGCAAGGTCCCAAATCAAGGACCGTTGCAGAAGGTCCTATTCTGACACGTGGTAGTGTGTACGAGCTCTTGCCCGGGTCTGTGGGGTGTAGACTAGGTTTTCTGTACATGAAAAATTTACAAAGCTGTTACCTTCTGCAGAAGTTCCCCAGACTCTGCCTACCAGGCACGTGGCCGGGGTTGGGATGGGGACCCCTGTCACTGGCTCGCCACAGCCCCGCCTGCTTCTCACAGCCCTGTGCTCGGCTTCCCGGGCTGCCCTAGACTCTGGGCTAGCGCTCAGGCTGGGACCCGAGTTGGCTTCTGTGAGTCCCTGAACACACGCAGCGTGGAACGTAGAATGCATGCCACCTCCTCGTCTGCATGCGGTCCTGATGCTGTCCTGTCTGCATTCAGTCCAGACGTGTCCTGTGTGCGGTCCTGACGTGTCCTGTGTGCGGTCGTGACGTGTCCTGTCTGTGGTCCTGACGGATCCTGTCTGCGGTCCTGACGTGTCCTGTCTGCGGTCCTGACGCTGACCTGTCTGCGGTCCTGACGTGTCCCGTCTGCGGTCCTGACGTGTCCCGTGTGCGGTCCTGACGTGTCCCATGTGTGGTTCTGACGTGTCCCGTCTGTGGTCCTGACGTGTCCTGTCTGTGGTCCTGACGTGTCTTGTCTGTGGTCCTGATGCTGACATGTCTGTTGGACTCAGTGAAGCTGTCCATGAAGTAGCACACACGACATGCGTGGCCAACTCAAGCCTTGGTGACTGATGTCGGGGCGTATTCAGAGCCCCTGGGTAAAGACCCGCATTGAAGGGGCTTCGATGTTCTCTCCCTGGAGAGCAGACAAGTGGTTGCCACGTGTGACACTAGCGTGGGGTCAGGAAGATGCAGAACTACCCCTCGTCTTCCTTACCAGCTTCTGTCTCCTAGTGTCTGGAACTATTCTCGTACATCACCCGGTTTGCAGAAAACACAGGTGCCTGTTTCCTGTTTGGTGCCATTTTTTTTTTTTTTGGGTCCACTTCCCGTCTGTCTGTTTCTTTCTTTGGGGAAGTCGATGACCCAGAGCTCTTAAGAAAAATGCGTTTAGCTCTCCCTGACTTCAGAAAGCCTAGAAAGGCATCACGCGGCCCACAGCCATTTCTCTTGAGTAAGTGCTGTGGTGTTTATCGAAGGAGAAAGCCCCAGCCTCCAGGAAAGGCCACCCTAGGTGACGGGGCTAAGCTTGTAAAGCTTCTTCCTGCTCTTGCGCGTCTTTCCGAGGTGGGTGGCTGTGAGGTTCTGTGCAGGCGGACGATGCATCGAGGGGGCCGCCCTCACGACAAGGGAGGGGCTTGGCTGATGCACGGCTGCGCTGCGGCGTTCCTCCCGGCCGGGCCCGGCCCTGCGCGGCCTGTGTGTCCCCACGTGCACCCCCAGCACCCGTCACCGAGTGCTCTCTCCTTCAGGACGAGCCCAGCTCCGGGATGGATCCCTGCTCTAAGCGGTTCCTGTGGGATGCGGTAAAGCAGGAGGCCCGGCGAGGCTGTGCGGTGGTGCTGACCTCACACAGGTGAGCCGAGGTCCTCGTGGCCAATCCGGGAGCGTGGTGGGGGGGCCAGCAAGGGGGAGGCAGAGCAGCGGGGGGCCAGCAGCCGGGCTCTGGACAGCCCCAGGGCGATGGGGATGGAGCCGTGAGCCCCGCCGTGTGGGTTTGGACTCTGAAACAGACACGGAGCAGGTAACATAACCAAGGCCGACAGCCGACAGCTGCTGGGGCTGGACTGTGAGCCCAGACGACTGTCGCAGGCACGCCCTTGCCCGTCCGCCGCTCCTGCAGACAGAGGCCTCCCCTGGGCCTCCAGAGGCCAGGACTCAGTGCCTTTCCCCTCAAGACTTTTTACCCCAGCAGCACTATCGGTTGGAAGGAGAACTTCACAAGTTTCTGCATTGGGTCTACTGTTTTCTTCCTCACAGAATTAACATCTTGGTTGAATTTCAGAGTCCTTGGCCTTTTTTTTTACTTTAGGCCACACAAGACCTCAAGTCTTAGGTTTTAAAAAACCCGTCCGTGGACAGTGAGCAGTATGATTTATCTGAGATGTAACGGGGATCAGGCTTTACGGCTTTGACTGTGCACAAGTAACACACACACTGAGCTAAACGTCAGGTGCTGAAAAGGAGCCGAGATTCTGCCTTGCTCGCAAGCTGACAAAGTTGGCATGCCGGGCTCCTGGGTGTTTCCAGAAGACACGAGACTCCCGGGTCAGAGGTGAAAGGTTTTATTACTCACTGTCCACGAGGTCCCGCTGGTTCCCCCGCCCTGGCCACCCAGACAACGTCTGCACACAAGGGGTGGGAAGGAAGGACGCCACCTACATGGTGACCCTCCTCTTGATGGCAGCTGATGAGTGAACCATCATGAAGTGGGGGCGCGACACCTCGTCCTTCAAGGCTGCTCAGTGAAAACACAACTTTGAGAGGAGTCCTGTGTAAAGGGCAGCCAGGGCCTTGCAGTCTGGGAATTCCTAGCAAGACAGGAAGACAGGTGGATGGTGAGACCCCTGGCCCCGGAGGAGTGTCCCCCCCCCCCCCACTGCGAGTCCGTGCTGCAGTGGGCCATCCACCCCTTGTGGTCAGAGGTGAGATGTGAAGCTAACCCATCATTTGCAGCATGAGATCTGTGAGGAAGGCTCAGGAGACTTTCCCGAGGGCTCCAGCATCAGTATACGGGAAAATTCTCTTGAGAGCTGTGCATCCACACGCACAATCCTGCCACACGTACATCACAGACCCTGTTCCTATAGTAAGTGCTGGTGGCGGCCGTGAGGGTCTGAGTGAAGTCAGCCCGCATGGAAGGGATGACACATGCTGCTTCACGTGGGAGCAGATATTTCCTCACCCTCTTTGCTCTGTTTTTGGTTTCTTTTTTTTTTTTTTTTTTTGAATATGTTTTTTTTTTTTTTTTAATATTTTATTTTTTTTTCTAGGAGAGAGAGAGACAGCATGAGCAGGGGAGGGGCAGAGAGAAAAGGGGACAGATGGTTCAAAGTAGGCTCCGCACTGACAGCAGGGAGCCCAATGTGGGGCNCAGCACAGAGCCCGACGCGGGGCTCGAACCCACGAACCGCGAGATCATGACCCAAGCAAAAGTCGGACGCTTAACCGACTAAGCCACCCAGGTGCCCCTCTGTTTTTGGTTTCTTAATCTTCTCTCATTCCCTGAGGGTTTGTCTAGGATCCCTGAGTTTTCACTGCTGGACTAAATGCTGGCTTTTTTTTTTTTTTTTTTTTTTTTTTTGAGAGAGAGAGAGAGAGCACAAGATGAGGTGGGGCAGAGAGAAAAGGGGACAGATGGTTCAAAGTAGGCTCCGCACTGACAGCAGGGAGCCCAATGTGGGGCTCGAACTCAGAAACCGTGGGATCTTGACGAGAGCTGAAGTGGGACGCTCAACCAACTGAGCCACCCAGGCGCCCTGAAACATTGCCTGTTCTTAAAATAGGTTTTTTTTTCCCCCCTGAGGTGTAATTTACATACCCTATAATTTACCCACTTTAAATGTACCATTCAGTGATTTTTGTTTGTTTTTTGGTTTTGTTTGCTTTTTTTTTGTTTTTTTGTTTTGTTTTGTTTTGTTTTTTTAGAAAAATGGGAGTTCTGTGCACCTGTCACTCTAATCAGGTTTGGGTCATTTCCGACATCATCAACATGTGTGTTTTTAGATCATCCCCATGCAAAGTCCCAGAGCCTCTAGCTCACATGTGTCTTTTCTGGATATTTCATGTAAACAGGATAATAAAAACAGCAGTCTGTTGTATCTGGCTTCTTTCACTTACTGTGTGGCTTGACCTCAGTTGTCTAGTCCTTCCTTGTCAATAGCCCCTTGGATTGTTTCAGTATAAGGTGCTATGAACAGTCTTATAAATGTCATTCTATGGACATACGCTTTCATCTGTCTCGGATAGTGTCGCAGGGGCCAGATCACGGGGTCGTGTGTTAAGTTTGTGCTGAACACTTTAAGAAACTGCAGAACCCTGTTGTGTTTCAACGTGGCTTCATCATCTTATATTCCCAGGACCGGTAATGAAGTTCCTGGTTTCCACAGACTCTTGTCAACATTCTGTCTTTTTGATCATAGCCACCCGGGTGAAGTGTGATGTTCATTCACATTGTCCAGATGATCGTGTCACCTCTGTCTTCTCACCTATGTCGTTTCTTAGAAGAAGCCAGCCAGTGTCACTTCTGATGCCCACTGGTACATCCTGGGTCATTTCCGGGTTGCACCTCTCAGATTTTTCTCTCTGACTTTCACGGTTAAACGCTGATGTGTCCAGATGTACATCTCTCCGTTTATCCTTCCTTAGGTTTGTGGTGCTTCTTGAATGTGTAGGTTAATGTGTTTCACCTACTGTGGGGACATTTTGGTAGTTGTTTATTCAAAAATTTTTTTTTAATGTTTTATTTATTTCTAGGAGAGAGAGAGACAGCGTGAGCAGGGGAGGGTCAGAGAGAGAGGGAGTCACAGACTCTGAAACAGGCTCCAAGCTCTGAGCTGGCAGTCAGCACAGAGCCCGACGTGGGGCTCGAACCCACGAACCGCATGATCATGACCTAAGCGAAAGTCGGACGCTTAACCGACTAAGCCACCCAGGAGCCCCTGTTTATTCAAATATTTTTTTTCTGCCTCTTTCTATCTTTCCTTTCCTTTCTTTTTCCTACACTGGTACTTTCTGTGTATGTACGATGGTGTCCTACAGATCTGTGTTTTTCGCCCATTTCTTTTTAATATATTTTTCTCTTTTCACATTCAATAATCTTTACTGATCTATCTTCTTTTTTGTTTTGTTTTTTAAATTTATTATTATTTTTTTAATATACTTTATCGTCAAATTGGTTTTCACACAACACCCAGTGCTCCTCCCAACATGTGCCCTCCTCCATGCCCATTGCCCATTTTTCCCTTTCCCCCATCCCTCGTCAACCCTCAGTTTGTTCTCTGTATTTAAAAGTACTTATGGTTTGCCTCCCTCGCTCTCTGTAACTTTTTCCCCCTTCTCCTTCCCCATGGTTTTTTGTTAAGTTTCGCAAGATCCACATATGGGTGAAAACGTATGGTACTGATCTATCTTCAAGTTCACTGATGCTTTCTTCTGCTACCCAGATTTGCAGTGGGCCCTGTAGTGAAATTTTCATTTCATTTTGATACTCCTCAGCTAAAAAAATTCCATTTGGTCCTTCTTTAAAAAAAAAAAAATAATTTCAATCTACTTCAGAAACTCTATCATAATTTAGAAAAATTCTTTAAACATTGTTTCCTTTAATGCTTTGAACATATATAGAGGTGCTTCGTTGAAGATTTTTTTCTGCTAAATCCAGCATTTAAGGACACCTAGGAATAGTTTGTGCTGACTGCTTTTCTTCCTGAGTATGGAAAACAATTTCTCCTTTCTTTTACAGGTTACACTTTTTTGTTGAAAACTGGGTATTTCACAAGTTTTAACAAATCGTAGCATCTCTGAATTTTGACTCTTCTTCCTCCCCAGAAGTTGTTGTTATTGGCAGTTTTCTTTTTTGTTTTAGTTTTGTTCTTCTTGGTTTGTCTGTTTCTTTTGTGTGTGTGTCTGTCTGTGAGTGTGTCTTTGCCTGGGATAAATCTATGAAATCCCTTTCCCCTGCGGTGAGTAGCTCCTGGTGCCGCCGTACAGTTTGCATGCTAAATTTTATGCTGACTTTTTAAAGCCCAGACACCTCGGCACCACCTGTTTTTCATAGGCAGAGGCTGTCCTCAGGCACCCGGACCCAACCCAGATTCTGTCTTCTGCCGGTGGGTCTGTGTGTGCCCAGGGGAGAACATTCCACTTTCAGGCCTCTTCATACGGCCCAGTCTTGCTTTCTCCAGGGTTCTGCTGGGCTCTGGATGTGCATATGGATAGTCTCTAGGTTCACGTGTGGCGTATGGTTGGCAGGCCCTCTCTGACCTCTACTGCATGTACGTGCGGCCTCCGTAGGCTAGGCCCATGCCCCAGCCACAATATCAGCTAGTATAGCCCCCCTCAGGCCAGATGCTGGAGCTGTCGGCCCTTCTTGTTTGCTGGGCTCTATACAAGTCACTGATGTTGACAGTGTTGCCGGGCATGGGCCCCAGGTGAGCACAGAGAAGCTTCCAGTCCTCGTGGGCTCCCCTGCCCTGCTAGCAGCTGGACGTCGTAAAGCTGGCCGTGGATTGGCACCCTTCTTACCCCAAGTGCAGCCGTGTGTCAATTGTAAGCATTTCTAAGATTCTTGCATCCCTATAGTCATTTTCCAGCATTCCAGAATGGTTGTTTTTGTTCATTTCATCCAGTTTTCTAGTTGATTTTGGGGGGAAAGATTTGCCAAGTTTTTCACTCGGCCGTAGCCAGAAGTCCTGCCCTAGCCTTTTGTCCTGGTTCTGTTTCTTTCCAGAAAATTAAACGCTACACTGAAATGTAATACATTTGGCAAATCCTCTACTTTCTAATATGCATATGCTTTTGCTTAAAATGATCTCTGGCTGTGCCAATCCCAGAAACTCTCTGCATTCTTGTATTCATTATGCTGGTGTTTGTTAAGCCCTCATTTTCCTACTGGAGAAACACGGGTCCCGTTAAAAGTCCCTTGTAATATCCATATTGCATATGATTATTGCAGACTGCCCTCAGAAAGACCACATGTCACTATAATTTCTGTCTTATGTCCTCCCGTTCATGCGGTTTCACATTAACGATGTGTCCTCATTTCTATAAATCTGGCCATATTCATGCAACACAAAGGTCTAAATGACTCACGATTAATGGAGAGTGCGGCAGCCGGTGATGGATTCTGGGCTTCAAAACCAGCTGCCTGCAACTGAAAAGTCTCCAAATAGCACAGTTTCCTCTTAACTTTGAGGTCCTGTCTCTGTTCCTCTTCTTACTCCTTACCTAGAGGACCATGGAAGAATTATGGGGCAGGAAACTGAGGTTAAGAACGCTGTTTGCCATGGACTCACCAAGAGGAGTTAAACTGAGTCTAGCTGAGAACGACCAGAGTGCTTTTGCTCACACATCAAACCCTGACTTGTGCTGTAAGCACAATGCTAAGCCCTAAGGGGTTTAGCACCACCTGACCAGAGTTCTGTTCCAGTCAGCCCGATGCCCCGAGGGAAGCACGGTGTTTGTTTTCAGAGTAAATCATCAGAAATTATATCTCTGATATAGATAGAGCACCTGGCGTTTGTACGTTCTTCCTGATGCTGAATATCCTCAAAATCTCTCCGTCTCTGCCGTCTGGGCAGAGATGTCATGTTGAGATCTTATTTGTGTGACAGCTAATAACAACTCCATTGAAATGACCAAGTCATCCCTCCAAGGCCTTAATTAAGATCAGTTGTTATTTGGATCTCTGCTCATCAAAGCTGGTTAAGGATGTAATAGAGAAAACTTCACGTTCAACCGCTTTAATTAGGACATCTGTGTTGCACTCATAAAAATTTTAAACTGGAACTTATTTTTTTTATAAGCTTTATTTTTTTTATATATTTTTATTTATTTCTAGGAGAGAGAGAGAGAGAGACAGCGTGAGCAGGGGAGGGTCATAGAGAGAGGGAGTCACAGACTCTGAAACAGGCTCCAAGCTCTGAGCTGGCAGTCAGCACAGAGCCCGACGCGGGGCTCGAACCCACGAACCGCGAGATCATGACCTAAGCGAAAGTCAGACGCTTAACCGACTAAGCCACCCAGGCGCCCCTAAACTGGAACTTACTAAAGAAATAGAGACAGATATGTTTGCACAAAAAGATTTATAAAGCATATTTTAAGGTGCCTGGGTGGCGCAGTCGCTTAAGTGTCTGACTTTGGCTCAGTTCATGATCTCACGGTTCATGAGTTAGAACCCCACGTTGGGCTCTGTGCTCACAGCTCAGAGCCCGGAGCCTGCCTCGGATCCTGTGTCTCCTTTTCCCTCTGCCCCTCCCCTGTTCACACTCTCTTTCTCTCTCTCTCAAAAATAAGTAAACATTAAAAACAAAGATTTATAAAGTGCATTTGGAATGTTAATAGCACGCATTACTTAGATTCCATGTTAAACTATTACAACAAAGACCCCAAATTACGGTAGCTCAGATCAGACATGTTTCTTCTCTCCTCCATTAATGATTCATGTTGGTGGGCTGTGCTGGAGCCGGAGGTCATCCAAGGACGCCGAGTCGTTCCACCAGTTCACTTACTCACTTGTGAGTTTGCCTCATCTTCATGGTTGAAATTGACTTTCTAGTCCAGCTCATGGAAAGTAGAAAGAACCCGAACCCAAGGCAAGCAGCTTGCCTTATTTTGACAAGACCCAGAAATTGTACTACTTGTTGACCTGAGTTGTCGCACACCCGCCTCTAGCTGCGTGGAAGGCTGACCGATATAACCTTGATCTGAACGTACCATGACCTAATGAGCAGACCATTTTATGTCCATTCTGTAGTAAACATAGTACATGATTCCTCTAGGGGATTTGGTTAACACATCGTGGTAGAAGGAAAGGAATTCTACCATTAATATCACTTTTCAAGTATTGTCAAAGTCAACCTTTTCGTTTGTTTTTCCTTCCCTTTTTTTCCCACATTCATGTGCAATTTTCCCAACATGCACTGCCATTTTATCATTGCTATAGCATTACTCTTTTTTCCTTTGCAATTAATGGAGTTTAGGAAACCTCATTTGAATGGCTGTTTAACACACGGATGCACTCCCATTTACTTGAGTGTCATATTATCCTATTGTGGAAGTGGTTTCTGGATTTTTATTATTATAAATAACTTGTTATATGCATTCCTATTTTCTGTGTTTCCTAAGGTAAGTTCCTAGAAAAGAGATTAGTGCCAAATTGGGTTTTCAGAAAAGTCATGCCAATTTTTCACTCCCACCAACAGTATAGGAGGTTAGGATTGTTGAGATGATGTTTTTAACTTTGCAGGTATTTTTTTGATCTGAGAATTCATTGGGATTTTTTTGGTTTTGTTTTTGTTTTTGTTGTTTTTTTTTTTTTGCACTGCAGATGGGAGAAACATTTTCCTATGCAACAAGCAAAGGCACACTTGGCAAATGCCTTTGTGGCTGGAAAAGAATTTTAAGCTCACTTATTTGATGGTTAAGTTTCTAATTTGTCAGCACGTGTATTACCTGTGGACAGTTGTTGGAATAGTCTCTGTATTTGCCCTTCCTCCTGGATTGCATTTTTATAGTTTCTTTTTTACACTAACAAAAATGGGTCTTTATACTGAATGTATTGGGGCGCCTGGGTGGCTCAGTCGGTTAAATGACCAACTTAACCTCAGGTCATGATCTCATGGTTCGTGGGTTCGAGCCCTGTGTCAGGCTCTTGACAGCTCAGAGGCTTCAGATTCCGTGTCCCTCTTTGTCCCTTCCCTGTATGTGTCCTCTCTCTCTCTCTCTCTCAAAAATAAATTAATGAACTTTAAAATACACTGAACGTATTAACTCCTATGCATTGCATTTGTTACAGGTTTTTTTTTTTTTTTTTGAGTTTTTTAATTTATTTTGAGAGACAGAGAATGTGAACAGGGGAGAGACAGAGGGAGAGGGAGAGAAGGAGAATCCCAAGCAGGCTCATATCATGACCAAAAGTTGGCCCCTTAGCCCACTGAGCCATCCAGCTTCCCCTTCCTAAAAAAAATTTTTTAAGTTTATTTCATTGTAGTTTTTTTTTTAATGTTCGTTTGCTGCGTTTTGACACACTTGTTAGAAGTTTGCACTTTTGTATTGTCAACTCATTTTCTTTCATAGTTTCTGCCATCGCTGTTATGCTCAGGAGGAATGCTCCCATCCTCCCAACACTGATGTCTTTAAGATGTGAACGCCTCACTCCGCACGGTGTTACCTTGTTCTTGTGATCTGCCCTGTACCTCCTGAGCCTTACCTTACCTTATAATGCCTTACATGAATTATCTGAGCCTTAGAACAAATATTAAATAGTTTCTGGAACACGTCTTACTGTTCTTCGTGTTAACAGTTTTTCTACCTCTCATTAAACAATTGTGAAGATATGCTTTATAATTTTGACTGGCATTATACCATAACCTTATAATTTGTTATGTTCTATATAATTCTATCACAAATTACGAATATTACATATTGTTTTTTAATTTTTTTTGATGTTTATTTTTGGGGAGAGAGAGAAAGCTTCAGCGCAAGTGGGGGTGGGGCAGAAAGAGAGGGAGACACAGAATCCGAAACAGGCACCAGGCTCCGAGCTGTCAGCACAGAGCGCAACAGGGGGCTCAAACTCACGAACTGTGAAATCATGACCTGAGCCAATGTCGGACATTCAATCGACTGAGCCACCCAGGCACCCCTCTTTATTACATATCTTATACCGAAATAATATTATATAATACTGCAAACCAAATTATGGTTGCAAGTTACAATGTCATTTGTTATATTTTATTTTATATTATATGTTATTGTAAATAGAATTCACATTTATATTTTATATAAAATTCATTTATTACATTTTATATTCATATCCTTCTCATGTTTTATATTTCTACGGACATATACTAATACTATTTTATATTGCAATAATTTTTATATCATAGTAATATTCATTTATAATAGTTTTCTTTTTCTAAAATATATTCAGTCTTTTCTTTCTAGTGACACATCTTTTTATTGTTTCAAGATTTCATTTAGGTTTATTAGTAGATCTTATTGCTTTTTTTTAAATAAAATTTGCACATTTTCTGTGAAGGTCACTTGTTTTTAGTTTATATTTTCATGCCATTGCTAACAGCTTCTCTCCTGATAACCATTGCTCCTCAGATAATGAAATGCTGCTAAGTTTTGGTCAATTGTGTCATTGGCTATCTACATAAAACATCTTTTTTGTTTTATTTTATTTCTTAAATGTTTATTTATTTTTGAGGTGGGGGAGCAGTGAGAGACACACAGAATCTGAAGTAGGCTCCAGGCTCCGAGCTGTCAGCACAGAGCCCGACACAGGGCTCAAATCCACTAACTGTGAGATCAAGACCTGAGCCAAAGTCGGACCCTCAACCGACTGAGCCACCCAGGGGTCCTAAAACATGCATTTTAATAGTGTTTTCTGGGCGTTTCTTGAGGTGGTATATAGAAAATTCACTAATTTGTGTATAGAAAATTCACTGACAACAGTAGTGTTTTTGTCTACTTGTCGATTGGACCATTCGGTGTCTGGAAGGCGCCCTTCGCTCACGCGTGTCCTGCCCTTTCCCCCAGCATGGAGGAATGCCAGGCTCTCTGCACAAGACTGGCCATCATGGTCAACGGCAGCTTCCGGTGCCTCGGTTCCCCTCAGCACATCAGGAGCAGGTACGTTGTCTGTATGTGTGTGTGTGTACATGTATTTCTCTCCTCGTCTGTTTGCCATGTTATGCAGTCGTAACAGGTGACACTCTCCATCCAGAGTGTTCCAGCCCCTCCTGCGGAAGAAGGGAGTGGGGGGCTGAGGAGTCGGGGGGCTTTCGGGGCACCAATCGCGATTCGCCCACCAAGTTCACGGGCTTCTTCCCGGAGGACGGGCACTCGCGGTGTGACAGTCACGGTGAAAAGGGGACAAGAAATGTCCTCGCCGATACAGGATACCTCAACAGATGCTTCGACCCCTGTATCCCTCGTCCGGGGGGGCCGGGGGGCCTGTGTTACCCACCACCCTCCGTGCTGTAAAAACGGTCTCCTCGGATTCAGGACGGGAAAGCACAGTTGTGGTGGTTGATTTTCATGTGGACTAGTAAGGACTAAAGTTGTTCCTCTGCGTCCTCAGCCTTTAGGTTTCTTCCCCCGCTAATTGTGTTTCCACGTCTTCTCTGTGGACTTTTCGGAATCTTAATGATTTTGCTGTCAGTTCCTATGAGCATGTTTGCATCCTGGCCCCTGTTTTTACATTCAGTGTCCCCTACGCTGTTCTCACAGTTTCGAATTTCCTTTCAACTCATCATCTAATCTGGTGTTTCTGATACAGAATAATGTATTAATATGCTGATAAATCCCTTTCCACTTTCATTTATTTATTCACTGTTTTTTTTTTAAATGTTTACTAATGTTTGAGAGAGAGAGAGAGACAGTGAGAGCCAGGGATGGGCGGAGAGAGAAACAGAGAGAGGGAGACACAGAACCTGAAGCAGCTCCAGGCTCAAGCTGTCAGCACAGAGCCCGACGCGGGGCTCGAACTCATGAACTGTGAGATCATGACCTGAGCCGAAGTCAGATGCTGAACCGACTGAGCCACTTAGGCGCCCCTATTCACTGTTTTTTGAAGTTGGAATTTGCAAGCCAAGATTTGCTAAGTAAATAGTCATATGTATTAAGTTGAAGTATTTTCATCTCCTGGAGAAAACCTCAGCGAATGCTTGGTTCGCCGGCCTGGGGAGGGAACATGCATTTCCCAGGGCCGGAGAGTTGGTGCTGCAGGGACAGCCACCCTCACTGCCGCATGCGGCTCAGGGTCAAGCCCCTCGTCAGACCAAACCCGCTGGATGGAAAACTGTTCTTAATATGTGCTCTGCTCATGTTTAATAAGTGTCATCAAAAGAAAAATAGTATTTCACACTGCCTCACCTTTATGAATGCTTGCATAAAGTTTTATAGCCCGTGCCTGATTGTTGGGTGATTTATGTCTGTGTTTTGCTACTGGCCTCTCTCAAGGGGGCCACAGGAACCTGGCCCAGGGACGCACAGAGGAAGCATTAGCCTCCAGCCGTGTGGTCTCCGTGCTCCACAGGCTACCTCACTTCTGGTTTCAGCCCCGATGATGTGGCACGTGATCGAGGGCGGATTGTTAGTTATGTGGACTGTAGATGACATGCAGCAAGAAGTGGCTTATGGAGGAATCACCAAAACCCCGAACCTTAATACTAAAGTTGGTATTTTCCTGCAACAGTAAGCTGATTACCTATGTTTCCATAATCTGAGTAAAAAGTAAAGGGCTCATCACGCCATGGACCCAGGACTTCCCAGCCTCCGTGCCAGCACAGGCCCTGTGGCCAGGGGGCTGCGTGGAGTGCGTCTGCGGACTGTGCCTACTCTGCGCACAGCCCATGGGCACGCTGGTCCCAGTGCATGAGGCACATGTGACACACTGTCCTTGCCTTCAGGCCTGTGGTCCCCGACCCAGCCCGGATTCCCTCCCACTGTCTGAGGTCTCCAGCCCGGGGACTAGACATTCAGGTTGTGCTTGTTCACGCAGCTCTGTGTGCAGGGCCGCTGGGCGCTGCGGCCTCAGGCAGTTTGTCTGAGCGTCCCGGCTGGGGATGGGTCGCTGCGAGGCCAGGCGAGTGTGCAGCCTGTGGAGGGGAGCCTAGCTCAGGCCACGTGTGGTCTGCGGAGAAGCTGGCACTTAGGAGTGGGGGGGGAGGTGCAGGAGGAGGTGCGGAGGGAGCGGCAGGAGGGATTGTCTGAGGGGCCGTGAAACCCAGAACTAAGCCCTCGGAGGTGCGCGTTGCATGCAGACAGTGTGAGAGCGCCGCAGAGGTGTCCCCCTTCCCCCAGCAGGTACGCAGGGACCTGATGGGAGGAGTCCTGGCCGTCTTGTGATTTGGGACTGAGGACATTGGAAAGGAGTGTGGAGAGAATGAAGGCAGGGCAGGGGTGAGGGAGGCCCTGGGGAGGGGGGTGAGGAGGTAACTTGGGACACAGCCGGGTTTGGGGTTTGGCGGGCTGTCTCCAGTGTGGGTTGGAACCGGGAGCTTAGGGGTTTCCCAGTGGAGATGCAGAAGGTGGGCGTGCCAGGGTGGGGGTAGGGCTTGGGCGGGGAGGTGTCTGCCTGATGGGGTAGCTGAGGCCAGGGGCTGAGGACCCGAGGGCAGGTGGGGCGGAGCCTTGGGAACTCCCTCCTGGAGCGGCCCTGCCCTGAATCCCGTCTTCTTGCACCCATGCACAGCGGGCCTGGCCAGTGCCCAGCACTCCCCTCCCTGTGCCGGCACCTTGGTTTCTCTTCTTTGGCTGTTCTCTCCCGCAGCAGACCACTCAGCATGCTGGCTCATGATGTCAAGAGACATCGTGGCTGTAGAGCGTCCTAGGCGCCAGTTCTAAGTGCATCGTTAACTGGTTTGCTCCTCATGACAGTGCCCTGGGGTTGCTGCTATTATGACTCCCCTTCTGCAGCTATAGAAAATGTGCTCAGAGAAAGATTGAGAGTTTTCCCCACTGGTGAGCAGAGGACCTGGAATTGGAACGTGGCCATTCTGGTTTGCTTTGTTCTGTGGTGCATGTATGTTCTCACAACAACCCCCATTCAGTACGCAGAGCTGGCATCCCAGGGCAGCCAGTGAGAGTTCTGAGCCACCAGCTTCCTGGGCCTGCACCACGCCTCCCCCCAAGAGAGCACGTCCCAGGGTCACAGGGAGGTGCACTGTGTGCTTGTGTCTGCACCGCCAGCGCTCTCCTTTTGCCCTTCCCTTGGCTATCAGTTTCTGTCTGTCAGGTCCTCAGTGGGGCTTCACAAACTGCTGTTCATTCATCATCCTTGTTTTCCTTTGTTTCTGTTTCCAAGAAGGAGATTTGCCTCTCTCTCAATTGTCTGTCTTCTTTCTGTTTGGCAATCCTGTGATCTCCTTCCCTTCTGAGACCTTCCTCCAGGATTTTTTTCTTCTCATATTTCTTTGATCTTCTCCATCAGTTATTTTTTTCTTCTCATATTTCTTCGATCTTCTCCAACAGTTATTTTTTCTTCTCGTATCTCTTTGATCTTCTCTATCAGTTATGTGCCATGTCCATCAGTTAGTAACAGAACATCAGACACACTGATGTACGCATATCCATTGATTGAAACATATTCATTTTTTGCATACAATAAAAGTCCAGAAGTATCTGGTTACTGGCGCTGGTTCCATGGCTCAAATCTATACTGTTTTCTTGTTCCCATAAGGGCTGCTGTAGCTCCATCCATCACACCCTCGTTCTAGGCAACAAACAACAGGAAGTGGGGAAAGGCTAGAGGAGCATGTGTCCACTGTCCCATCTTAGAGCAGCTGTCTGTAAGTCCCACTTGGCCACCTGCTCTTAAAATGTTTTGTCAGTCGTCCTGGTGACTGGGATGCCTGAGAAATGTAGAATTTAGATGGGCATTTTGCCACTTAGATAAAGTTAGGTGTCTGTTAAGGAAGAAGGCAAGGAAGTGGCTGTTGGCTGGCTGTCTACAGTGTCCCGTTGTGCTGATTGGACTCTTTCTTCAGTTGAAGGTAGGTCATTGAGTCGAACAGTCTGTGCCCTGAGGCTTCCTTTGCAGGACTGTCATATGATATTTCTAAGTTTATGTGTGAGCCATAATCGTGTGTGCACACGCATGGATGTGTGTGTGTGCACTGACCAAGGAAGCAGAAGCAGAATAGAGGCAACCTGATGGCCAGGAATGGTTGAGCCAGCCTGTGTGTGCACCGATATGCCATCCCTGGGGAACTGGGGGTGCATTCCCAGATTCTCTCCCTGGCAGAGCTGGAGCATGTCTCAAGAGCCCACAGGCTGGGGCACATTCATGACCCATAACATCTGCGTGCTGCACCTGCTCGCTTTCCCCTGACATGGGACCGACAGCAGCAGAAAGGTTAAGTCTGAGCATAAGAGTAGTCCTTCCCGGGGAGGGAAAATAAATATCACTTTTGAACCACAGAGGTGATAGTTTGAAGAACACTGGACCACTTTCCTGGCGGGGAGGGAGGACAGGGCTGTTTATGCATTCAAAACGAAACAAAACCAAAGCTTTAGAAATAAAGAAAATCCTTAAGATCGTGAGAACTATTATTTTCTTGAGTTGTCCAGCATGCAAGCTTTACGAATCAGAGATAGTACTGGGGTAAACTTTGAAGGATGCTCTCATCAATATGTTATATAGGATTATATAGGATTTGTTCGTAGATTTTCATTTTTTTTAAAATTTTTATTCATTTTGAGAGAGTGAGAGAGAGTGAGAGAACAAGCATGGGAGAGGCAGAGAGAGAGGGCAGGAGAGAATCCCAAGCAGGCTCTGGGCTGTCAGCAGAGAGCCTGAGTTGAGGCTCGATCTCACAAACCGTGAGATCATGACCTGGGCTGAAATCAAGAGCCGGACACTTAACAGACCTAGCTGCCTGGGTACCCGTGTAGATTTTCCTCAAAGAGATAGAAGACAGTATAGTGATGTTTGAGCTCTCCAGCTACGACTCCTTGGGTAGCTGAAAATTAACACGTCACCATATGTGACACCATATTCTTCAGCGTGGCAACTTTCATTTAATACTTTTATAAAACATTGCTATGAATGTCAAAGCTTAGATTGAGGTGACATCGCCACATAATAAACTGGCTCATTTAAAAATGAAGTAGCTAATTCGATAGGT